TATGACCAAAAGAAGGGACCAAAAAAAAAAAAAAGGGGACAGCAAGCAAGACAGAAGGACTGCAAGTTCATGCTCAGTCTGGGCTAATCAGCAATACAGCGAGACCACAGCATTACATACATACAGAACCTGTGTTTGGAAGAACCGGGGACTGAACTCAGACCCTTGTGCTTGACAGGCAAGTGCTTATTCTACTGAGCCATCTCCCCAGCCCCACAGTAGCATTATTTATAAGAACTCAAAGGTAGAGGCAACTCAAGTGTCTACTGGCAGATGAACAAGTAAACAGAATGTGATATGTACATAAAATACAGAATTACACAGTTTGCAGCTTAAAATGAAGGAAGCTGGTCGCCTGGCGAGACCGCAGATGCGATGGCAGGGCCCGCGTGGATCTCCAAGGTCTCTCGGCTGCTGGGGGCATTTCACAGCCCAAAACAGGTGACCCGAGGTTTTGCTGGTGGTGCTCAGACAGTAACTTTAATTCCAGGAGATGGAATTGGCCCCGAAATTTCAGCTGCAGTTATGAAGATTTTTGATGCTGCCAAAGCACCTATTCAGTGGGAGGAGCGGAATGTCACTGCCATTCAGGGACCTGGAGGAAAGTGGATGATCCCGCCAGAAGCCAAGGAGTCCATGGATAAGAACAAGATAGGACTGAAAGGCCCTTTAAAGACCCCAATTGCAGCTGGTCACCCATCTATGAATTTACTGCTACGTAAAACGTTTGACCTTTATGCCAATGTCCGGCCGTGCGTCTCAATCGAAGGCTACAAAACCCCCTACACTGACGTGAATATTGTTACCATTCGCGAGAACACTGAAGGAGAGTACAGTGGGATTGAGCACGTGATCGTGGATGGAGTCGTGCAGAGCATCAAGCTCATCACCGAGGAGGCGAGCAAGCGCATTGCCGAGTTTGCCTTTGAGTACGCACGGAACAACCACCGGAGCAACGTCACGGCTGTGCACAAGGCCAACATCATAAGAATGTCAGATGGACTTTTTCTGCAAAAATGCAGGGAAGTTGCTGAAAATTGCAAAGATATTAAATTTAATGAGATGTACCTTGACACAGTGTGTTTGAATATGGTACAAGATCCCTCCCAATTTGATGTTCTTGTTATGCCAAATTTGTACGGAGACATCCTTAGTGACCTGTGTGCAGGACTGATTGGTGGTCTTGGTGTGACCCCAAGTGGCAACACTGGAGCCAACGGGGTAGCCATCTTCGAGTCGGTTCACGGGACAGCTCCTGACATTGCAGGCAAGGACATGGCCAACCCTACCGCCCTCCTGCTCAGCGCAGTAATGATGCTGCGCCACATGGGGCTTTTCGACCATGCTGCGAAGATCGAAGCCGCGTGCTTCGCCACAATCAAAGATGGAAAGGGCTTAACAAAAGATTTGGGAGGCAGTTCAAAGTGCTCAGACTTCACAGAAGAAATCTGCCGCCGAGTGATAGATCTAGATTAATAGGTCACCAGTGGTGTGTGCTGCAGGCCTGAAGAATGCCACCTCGTAAACCTCTCCGTAGGCACCCGCCATTCTCTGTGCGTTTGGTTTGCTTGTTTCTTGACAGCGCTTTTTACAATCTGGCCTTTTTTTAACCAACCTCTGCAAAGGATGCAGGAGATGTCCCTGACGTGCTTTCAAAGGACTTTTTCCAAGTGCTTGTTTTATTTATTAAATGTCTATCTGGTAAACATTGTTTTGTAAACTCTAAGTGGACTGTATCATTTGCCATTGTTAACCATTTTACACTTTAGTTTAAATAATTTTTCCTCAGCTGTAAATATTATGATACAGAATTAATAAGAGAAAACATATAACTTTGTAAACAAAAGTCCTGTCTTTCTTTGGCTCATGAGAAACATAATGGAAATAAAACAGGACATTGATATAATAGCACAAAATGACATTCTTAAATGGGCACAGGAGAAATTTCCTGGGAAAGTTCACATCTAAAACAACAAAAATGATGTATTTCCTAGTGATATGGAAAATAAAGGCAGATGCCTCCTTTACATGAATTATTATGAATAAAAATTTCAAATCGAAGAAAAAAAAATAAAATGAAGGAAGCTTTTTTTTGGGGGGCGGGGTCAGTACTGGGCATTTAACCCAAGGCCTTCAGACAGGGTCTCACTGAATCACCCAGGTAGACCTGAACGTGCATTCCTCTCGCCCCAGCCTCCCAAAGCTTTCGGACTACAAGCTATCGCCATCACCTCAGGAAGGAAGGAAATTGTGACATATGGTACCAGATGGATGGAGCTTGAAGACTCTCTGCTAGGTGAAATGACCAGAACTTTATAATTTAATGTGCACTTTTATATATTACATTGTTTTTATAACAGCTGCCCTGTGAACTAGTTATCACCATCACTTTCCTTCTATGGATAGAAGAGGTCCAGAAAAGCTAAGCAACTGGCTCAAGACCACATAATAAAATGGTAGAGAGAAAAATTAAAAACCCAGTTTTTTTTTTTAACTTTTATTTATTTATTTGTGTGTGTGTGTGTGTGTGTGTGTGTGTGTGTGTGTGTGGCCAGCTCAGGCCACCAGGGGGTGGGGCTGGCTGGCATGTGGTGCTGGGGGATTGGACCACGGTCCCTGTGCTTTGCTATGCTTGTTCTAAGTAGGTGCTTTAGACCACTGAGCCATCTCACCAGCCCCCCAAAAATCCAGTTTTTTAACACAAGTTTTCGTGCTTCTCTCAACACATCATGCTAGGCTTTCTGCTGACCCCCAGGGGAGACTCTGTGGCAACCCTACTGGGGCACGAGTCAAGGTTACAGGAAAAGGGCTCTGGGCTATGCCACGCAGCTGTGGGGCCTTAGACCACTCACAGTTTCTTAAGATTCACTTTCCTTGAGGGTAAAAAGTGAATTTTAAGAATTATAATGCACTTCATAGACTTTAAACATTAAAGGAGCATGTGAAAGAACAGCACCAAGTCTGCACTGAATAAAAAGAATTATCCGGAAAGAAAAAGGGTTAAGGTGCTTGGTATCATCAGTTTCATCCCTGACCTAGACTGAATATGAGAGGATACAAATACATTCTTTCAGTAACTGAGAAGATAAAACTGCTCTCTTCTACTTCAGACATATACTATGGTTCATTAAAAGCGAGAATAATGAGTTATTCTCTGTGGCAAGCTCATGAGAGAAGTTTAGAAAATCAAAGTGGAAGTACAAGCCTGACACAAATCATACAGGAATATTCATTCCCAAGGCTCAGCCCAGTTCTTTCTTGGCTACCCAGAAAAAAAAGCCAGGCCGGGGGCTGGCAAGATAGCTCAGCAGACTAATCACCTGCTTAGGCAAGCACAGGGACCAGGGTTCGATCCCAGGCACCACATGCCATGCTGGTCCTGCCCCCAGGTGTGCCAAGCCAGTCACCATGACCAGGCATGGTGGCACACCCCTGTAATCCCAGAGCTGGGGAGGCTAAAAACAAGAGAATCACTATGAGTCTGAGCTATATAGTGAGACCCTGTACCAAATACATTAAAAAAATTTTTTCAAAAGTGAGGCTGAAAGCTTCAATCAGCTGCTCGATGGCCCTTGAGAAAGAGAAGGAGAGTAGCCCCTCCAAAACCACTGCACAGAAAATAACAAAGTACGTGACAAAACCAGCACAGAGTATAGTCAAGGAGCAGGCTCTGGCTGAGAAGGACCCATGAGCAACACCTGTGTGCAGGGTCTAGGAGAATGCATGGGTAAATAAACACGACAGAAGGCACACCCGTATACATGGCATGCACTAGCTCAGAAGCTGTGCTTCATTCAAACAACCACAACTGTCATAGTGCCCTCGGGTCACAAAGGAGTGTTCTTGAGAAGGGTTTATAATTCCTGATTCTTGTAGAAATTTATCCACCCCAGTATCTAGATTATTTGCTATGTGCAGACATGCATTTATTTGTGAGATTTATAAAATTGTGCTTTGCTGCAAAATGTCTCTGGGGGCAGGTAAGGCAGTGCAACCTTCACCACAACCTTGTCAGCGCATCCTTGTCCAAGTTCCCTTATCCCAGCCTGCCTAACACACATTTCACACTTAACCTCTCATCTTACCACATATGTCAAACAGTGCAGTAATTCACTGCAGGGACAGAACAGTTTGCCTTGGAGAGAGACAGAGAGGGACAGAGACAGGGACAGAGGGAGAGAACGAGAATGAGAACATACAGAAACAAACATCACATCCCAGCTCTGTAACACATTAGAATCTATACCAAGTTGTAAATGTGCATTGCCGTTACGAGAATGTCTGGCAAGGCTTACATCTGGAGCTAAATCAAGTTCTCCATCTGCTGGGTTTGCCTCTTTTACTCAATGCTAATTTTTTCAATTGTTTGCAAAGTCCATTTAATAACTGTTGAGAAAATGGAAAATCATAGGCACAAAGAATGAGAGAAGTCCTACTTAGGCTTCACCTGAAATCTGCGGATTCCCTGACAGCTCCTGGCTGTGAGCATCCTGGCAGTGCCTCCTCAAGACGGACCGCCTCCAACACTGTGTACTCCGACTGCTTTGCCCGCTCCTAAGTAACCCACAGTGACTTAGTCCCATGGACTCCACCTAATTCTGTTTACCACAATTACAAAGGCCATGAATAAAAATGTCAAAGTTCTAGATTCCCATAAATCATGCACTATAGTCACGGAGAAGAGGAAAGATCTTCAGAAAAAAGCCCTCCCATAGCATATACACAGGAAATATGCTGGCAGCTAGTATGCCTGTAAAGGGCTTGCAACCAACTCTTGGTAGAAGATTCACACAACAGCCAGCACTGTGAGCTATTTTAATATGGCAAAATGAAAGCCCTGTGTAGTCCTGCTTTTCTTGATCCAGTGCAACAATTTCTTCCACTCCTACAGACATCAAGGCTTAAAATAGTAAGCTATTCGGTGCCTTCTACTTAGAAAGCTACAGTACAACTGAGGATGAGCCACAGCACTCTGAAAGAGAGAAAGTTTCATTCCTTACCTGATATTAACCAATGCATGGGTCACTTTGCTAGCTGCTTCCTTCCACTGGCCTGCATTGGTAGAAAGCCTCAGGACTGAAAAGGAGGAAAGAACACAGATCTGTCAAACTCCTCACAGAAAACACAAATATGAAGAACAAATACACATCACAGAATAGTACTATTAGAACAACCAGAGTAATTCAGTTTCAAATCTCACTACACCTACAGTGTAGCAGCTGTCATCTCTCTTTCTCCTTCCCCATCTTCAAATTATCCTTTTATTTAAATAAAAATAAAAAAAATAACAAAACAACAGCCATGTCAATCTTTTGTTTAAAAACACCTTCACTTAAATAGACAGATAGATAGATAGATAGATAGATAGACAGACAGACAGACAGACAGACAGACAGACTGACTGACTGACTGACTGACTGACTGACTGACTCAATAGAACTCATTCGATAATTTTCTCTTGGAATTTTTTCTCTAATTTCTTATTTTCCATCAAAATATTACACTTCTACTTTGTCTTGGGGTCCTTCCACCATCCTTACCCCACAACATACTAACAGGGTTCCAACACAGTTTTTAACATTCACTTAAAAGTTACAATGGAGTAAGAACATGCGGGAAATCTGGGTGTTACGTTTATCATTTCCCTGGCGGTTAGGCCTAACTAAGCAGAACTATGTGGCTATGTCAATGTGCCCTCTTGCTATACATAGATCTTTCTGCACCTAAAGGGGTAAATTCAGAAAAACAGGACAAATAACCTGTTATGGCTGTGTCTACATGTCTCCTCATGCAGTCATAGACAGACGTTTTCGGAGGTGGCTGAATCTAAGTGTGCAATTAGTATGTCAGTCCACTGACTGCTTTGCCGTAGTTCCGGCTAGGACTAGGCCACCCTAGGGTGGGCAGCCTGCATACAACGGAAGGTAGAGAAGGAAATTCTCTGTCACTTCTGCTGTCTTATACTGCCATCAACTGTTGCCTTCTGTCATGAGCCACCCTGCCGTGGAGTCATCCAATTACGGACTGAAATCTCTACAAACTGTTAGCTAAATAAACCTTTCTTCTCTGAACTTTGGCTGTTAGGTATTTTGTCTCAGCAACAAGGGAAAAGAAACCAAGATATAACCTTTCCAGTTAGAGGATGATCACATTTCAATCTAGGTGTAATCTGTCGCTGCTCCTCTGACTTAACTGTGCGACCCGCAAAATGAATCAATAGGAAGACTGTTCTCTGACCAAATTCTCTTTTCCAAATTTACTCACAGGTAGAGAGATAATAAAAATACAAAAAATGGTATGATCTCCAGGGCCACACATGAACATAACCACAGCCAGTCCTGGCAGTATATGCTGATTGTCCTACCACTCAGGGAGGCTGAGGCAGAAAGATCACAAGAATTTGAATCCAGCAGGACAACTTAGTAACTTAGCAAGACTCTGTTTCAAAATTAAAAGGCCTGGGATGTAGCTCAATATGAAGGCCTTGGGTTCAATCCCCAGCACTGGAAATAAAAACAAAACAACCACAAGTGCTCCTTAAAAAAAAAAAAAGCACCTGCTGGTCACATCACTTCAAGTGTATACTTTTAATTTTAAAGAATGGCCGTAAGTAAGAGGAAACTATGTGGAGAATTTACCGTGTATGCCCAGTCACACTAGACAGAGACTATATGTAACACAGATGCAACAGGTGAAAAAGCTCAAGACTCAGGACACAAGTAGTTGGCTGAAGTCATTTGCTCAAGTTGTAAATGACAGAGCAGTAATTTGAACCTGGAGGGAAGAACTCCAAAAGTCTGAGTTTATGCAGAGAAGTGAGTAAAGAGCGTGATCTCTGAAGGCAGTTGTCAGGAGTCAGGTGTAGTAGCCCTTGCCACCTACTAGAGAACAAAAGCAGTAACTACAGGACGTGGTCACTGTGAGAATCAAAGAAGTCCATATACACAACACTCTTACAATGTGTGTCTATCACAGAAGTGAATTTTAACAGAGTGCCTCCCAAATAAATGAATAAATGAACAAGACATTACCACAGGAAGGAGGCCTAACCAACATTAAGAAACGTGTTCCCTTTGCACAGGAATGTCACCACTGCGTGCCATCACCATCTGCTCCTGACCCGTAACTCCCAAGCAGGCACAGCAGCAGCAGTACTCCTATCAGGGGAGGGCCTGCGGCTCTGATGGGGAAACAAATGCATCTGGCAGATCTGTGTTTGTTCTAGCAATGCCTCAATCTTATAAATACAGGCAACCCTATGGCAGAGGAACAAGACAGAAGCCTTAGTCAAAACATATATTTTTTTCTCAAATAGTCATTTTATTAACAAATACAAATTTGAGATGTCAGTGGTAAAATATATCAATATTGAACAAAGGTGTGCACAGGCAGTATAGCAATACTGTAAGTGGGAGGACATCTCAGTTTTGTTAGTTTTGGTGACATCTTCCCAAGCACAACTAATCTTCAGTATCTTCTTCCTCAAGCATGGCAGGAACAGAATAGTTTTCCATACAAGGACAATGATTGGAAGGAAAACAGCTATCATAACAGTTGGAGGTGTAAACCACACAAATTGCTTTGCACCTATCCATTTATTCCAGGCAAAAATCAATGCATGCATTGTGCCCAGTGGGAGCGAAACAATTCCAAGGCTGCTCTGAATACAGTAAAATTCTCTCCATGTCAAAGAGTCACTGAGAGATGCAACTGACGTAACAGCCAAGAGAGCCAGTACTGCAAGTCCCACAATTCCTAGAGACACATACATCTCCATTCTCCAAATATTATGCTCAATCCAAACATCTTTATTTTGTTGGACCTGTTGGTGTGCCCAGTTTAGAAACTTGTATCTGTAGGATCATTGGATAAGATAGACTATAAATTGCATGCAGTACAGCAAAAAAGAAACTGAGAAGCCCAAATTGCTTTCTTGTTAACATCCACTTATCTAACCAAGGTGAAAATTTCTTATATTTGGTTCCATTATGAAGCCGCACAACTGCTGCGCTCACACCTGGCAAGTAAACCAAGGCCAAGAGAGTGATGGAAACCACTGGCAAGACTTTGCTGATGACCAGGATTGGAATTTTATAAAAACACTGCTGATGAGAAGTTACTAAAGGGTGAATTATTTCCCACAAGAGAGTGTAAAGGAAAGTCAGCAATACCACAACAGCAGCTATTTTAATTGGCAAGTGCCACCACACAGAGCTCCTGTCTGTGCTGAAGTTCCAAGTGACAATCAAATTCGTTAACATGGGCAGCTTGTCGCAAAGATAAAAGCACAGGTCTTTTCAGCATGCTGGTCTCATCCACATCTTTAGTCAAAGAGTCATCATCTTGTAGGTTTTTAGGCTTCATATGCCAAAGATTTTCTTGGTTTGGGATGTCATTTCTGTTCTCCATTAATTCTATGAAACAGTATGGTCTCAGTCACCCGCTCCTCACTCCTCATGGACAGGACCACTTTGATTTGAGTGCAGTCTCAATATATTATTAAAATTCTGCTTTTCTAATGTACAGGACTTAGTGCAAGGGAAGTTGGGAGTCAGAACTCTGCAATGTGGAGTTAGGCTCTACTCTTTGTATATGCAAACTTACTCGGGTAACGAAGAAAATTATCTCAGCAAACCAGATGTGTCTTTATCAACTCACTTACTTAGATATGCTGGTTTTTACCATATCTACTAGATCATAAGGGACTGCTGTTCAATCCCCCAGCACCACATGCCAGCCAGCCCCGCCCCCTGGTGGGCTGAGCTGGCCACACACACACACACACACACACACGATAAATAAATAAATAAATAAATAAATAAAATTTAAAAGAAAAAAAGAAAGTTATTGAAAATTTAAACAAAAATTTTTTTCAAAATGCCCTAGGAGCCTCAAACTAAAGCAATCATTTATATACGAAATTATAACACACACAGACACACAAAAAAATTATGCAGCCATTAAAAGACTTAAACACAAAAATGTATAACTTGAAGGTTACAAAACACAAACTAGAAGGATATCGTGGTTACAATGTGAACTGCGCATACCTGTGGGCCAGTATACAACAATGAAAACAGTGACAGCACTACAATTGAGGGTTTACAGAACTAAAATTTTTGCCGAAGCCTTTTCCTTAGTATTAGTGTTTTTTGTTGTTGTTTTATCTGTCTTTTTGTGACAGGGTTTTCCTATGCAGTTCAGGCTGCTCTTGAGTGCACTTGGTAGCCCAGGCGGATCTCAAACTTTCAACGATCCTCCTGCCTCAGCCTCCCAAGTGCTAGGATTCTTAGCCACCACACTTGGTCATAGTAATTGCTTTTTTAAAAAATGAAAACCAGCTCAAAGCATGTCATGTATTGTTTAGAGTAGCTTCTGTGAGGGATCCTTCCATTTAGTAGACTTTCCTACAGAAAAATGTCACAGGAACATCACAGGTGTGCCTTACCCTCTTTCTGTTCCATCTATGATGGAGACATACTTTACCCTCCTCCTTTAAGCAACATAAAACAATGGTTACCAGATACCGAACAACAAGCAATTTAGAGCTATAATCTAAGGAAGGGGAAAAAAAAATCAAGATGCATCTGTGATTACCCCAGCTCACTAAGTGAAGGAGTCTCCAAGCTCCGAGGCAGGAAGGAAGAAGCAGAATAAAAAAATCTCACCAAGCTGAACACTCAGAGATCCAACTTTGGAGGGGCATGGCATCTAGAAGGAACAGGGTGGGCAGCTGGCAAGCAAAGATCCTGGGAGCTACAGGATCTCCAGAGGGGTATCCTTCGTCTCTTGCTGAGCAGTAACCCAAACATATGGGAAAGGAAACTACCCAAGGGTGAGGGCAAGGAGCTCCTGCACAGGAGGAGGAGAACGGCTTGTGTTTCCACAGACGAGTGGAAAGACCTGGGCTAGCAGGCACTCTACAGAATGGCACCACATTCTTGGGGCCAAAGTACCTTTCAGGACAAGGTGCTTTTGACCTGTCCTCCACCTGGACAACAGGCTGAAAACAAAACAACAACAAAAGAAAACCTTGAAAATATCAACCTGACCCAGTTCCACCAAAAAAAAAAAAAAAAAAGAATGAAAGAAATGAAAGTATCCACCCTATTCCACATAACCACATGCCAGAACAATGCCCAAGGTTGACTGTTTGCTTATTTATTTTAGTATTTTAGGGAAGGGTCTACAGGGTGTTCAGGATCTCACTACTAGATCGGACTCGTAGTGATCCGTCTGTTTACAGCCTCCTAAGAGCTGGGATTACAGGTGCACACCACCACGCCCAGTCTCAGTTGTGGTTGTGGGGCTGACATGGCAAGCTCAGGGCTCGAACCCCCCAGCCACCAAGCCTGCTTGCAAGCGCTTTAATCCACTGAGCTATTTGGCCAGCCCTAATGCCCAAGTTTCTATAAAGGAACATCATAAAAGTCTAGCACTCATACCACAAAAATCAGAATGTCTTTCACCTATAAGCAGCAGAAAAATCAAGCAATAAAAATGATCTGGTTGCTAGGAATTCAGAGTGGGCAAAACAGGTAACTTCACAAGAACACAAAAAGAATTCTGGAGATGATAAAACTCATTCAAGGGCCAGCAAGATAGTGCAGTGGACTAAGCACCTGCTTGTGCAAGCAAAAGGACCAGAGTTTGATCCCTGGCAAGACATGCAGCACAGGCCCTGCCACGCCCCTGCTGAGCTGGCAAAAGAGACTGCGCAGAGTGGCACATGCCTATAATGTTGCTTGGGGCTGGGGAGATAAGTGCCTTCCTTGCCAGTTCAAGGACCCAAGTTTGATCCCCAGAGCTGGAAGCACGACATTCTGGCCCCAGAACCCGGGTCCACTGTGCCCTGAGACTGGGCATGATGGGGCACGCCTGTATTCCCAGGACTGGGGAGCCAAGACAGGAGGCTCACTACAAACCCGAGCTGTGTAGCGCCCTGTACCAAATAAATAAATAGGATTCCTGAGCCCACCGACTAGACAAGATGAGCAAAGCTCACCCTCCCGAGCTGAAAAAATTTATGGACAAGAAGTTGTCATGGAATGAACTCAGGACCTCGCGCTTGCCAGACAGGCACTTATGCTGCTGAGCTATGTCCCCAGCGCCATACACAGCAAAATTCTGTCTCCAAAAAAAACAAGAGGAAAAAAATCTTTTCTTCCTGTAACAGGGAAATTGAATGGCGGCAGACATGTCCAGGGAATATGGAGAGGATTTGATCCCTTTATGCATCTTGTGATAGATGAGTGCGTGGAGACGGCAACTAGGGGGCAACAGACAGCACTGGAAGGTGGTGATGCGAGGAATAGTATCAGCATACTGGAAGCCTTGGGACGAGTCTAAATGCTGACTGCTCAGCAGAAAAATTCATACGCCTCCTCCAAGCATTACTTTCACTGCCTGAAGAATGGGTCATACACATTTTCATATATTGAATTTTTGTTAAATAAACTTTTGCAACAGTCCAAAGCAAATAAATAAATAAATAAATAAATAAATAAATAAATAAATAAATGACACACACACACACCCCCTCCCCGGAATCGGGGGTTGAACTCAGGCCCTTGCGCTTTCCAGGTAAGTGCTCATTCTACTGAGCCATCTCCCCGGCCCCAATTAAAAAAAACGTTGCTAACCAGCTTCCCACTGACGTAAAATCTAAGTTCTTGCATGCAAAATGCTTGCATACTCTTTCTTACTTGCCTGAGAAGAGACTACTGTATTTCTGTACCACGTAACAGCACCAACCAACTAGCAGAAAACTGTTGTAGCATTTTTCTCTTACTTGTCAATAAACAGGAAAGAGGATGGAGAAAGAAGAGTGAAAAGAACAGAACTTACCCATAGAGTACAGGTTGTCAAAGCTCTGGTGCATGCGGATAATCTCATAGTAAAGTTCATCATAGCTGCTAGGGGTCGGCAGGAATGTGTCGCCGTATGTGATAAACATGTTAAAAAGGTTCACAATCTAAAAGAGAAGCAATACTACATAAACAGGCTTCGGGCGACAAAGACCAAGCAATTATCATCAGCGGTACATCACAATCACCTCTAGCTGGTTTACGGGAATTGTCAAAATTTTAAGGATTTCACAAGATAATTACAAAACACAGCCATTATTAAAAATCCATTCATACAAACTACGAAACATGTTAAAATGAAGGTAAATAAGTATTCAAAACATATGACTTCCTAATATTTTCCGTCCTTTACTGTATATGTGCATCTGAAGCAACTCTGTGGCTCTTGCACCCGGATGGTGGGACACCACAGAACATGAGCTACTGCACGTCTCCTCCCCAGTACTCCGAATGACTCGTGTCATGCTGACAGCTTACAACTGGCTGCTAGGTAAAGCGCCACAACAGAAACCAGTACATGGCACAAATCAGGCTTCCCCCACTAAACATTGAGTATTTCTGAATTGGGTAATCCTAAAAAGATAGAAAAAAAAACAACCAATCAGACAAACAGGCATCTGTAATGGCCCTGGGACACCAACAACAAACAGGGTGACAGAACTGCTCCAGCAATGGGCACTTGAGAAGCTTGTGACAGAGACTGTGGTGTAGTGAGGTCTCCAGCTGGGGGCAGGGGCACAGTCATAAAGAGGTCAGCCAACACCCACGCAGCCAAGCCACCTCACATGAAGCAGAGAATCCCAGGGCCACCAGGCAGGTAACAGTAAGAAGCAGCAGTCTAAGATTCTGATCCCTGAGGAAAATTCAGCCTCATACCCTTTATAGCTGAGCCTCTCTGTTTCAAACCAGCATGTCTCTGCCTTAGCACATGGCTTCAGAGAAAGAAATGTTTGTTTTGTTACTCACCATAAGGGCTAAAGTAAAAATGTTGTGTTTAGCCAGCAGAACTGTCTCATTTGACATAAGAAACTTCAGCAAATTTATCAGGGCTTTAAAAAGAAAAGAAAAAAAAAAGCTATCAATAAACTATTCAAAATGTAATTAAGTTACAGGAAAGCAAAATAGTTGCAAAGAAATCTGTAAGGTTAGAATAAGTAAATCTCAGCTACTAGCCCTTACGGACATTTATTTTTATTAAAACATACCTATACATTTATTGTCAGGGTACACTGTGCTATTTCAACACACCTAGACAATGTACATAAATCAAATCAGGGACCAGAGAGATAGATCAGCAGCACAAGCACCTGCCTGGCAAGTGCAAGGTCCTGAGTTTGATCCCCAGCACATGTAACAGGTTACTGTACACTGTAGCTGTCCCCCATGCTGTAGAACACTAGAACTTATTCCTTCTTCCTTCTGTCTTTTTGTACTCACTACCCAACCTCCCTCTACCGCTCTCCCAACGCAGTTTCTAGCAATCACTATTCTATATTCAGATAGACTTCTCTGGCTTCTAAATCCAAGAGAGAACATGTACATGTCTAGTTTATTTCAATTAACATATAGTCTTCCAGTTCCACCTACTTTATGAAAAATGTCAGGGTTTCATTTTTATAGTTTCATTTTTTTTCTCTTTTTTGCCAGTATCAGATTTACTTTATGCTTTTATCAAGTTAATTATCATACATACAAATTAACAGCCAGAGGCTTGTCATGACATGCCAGTTACTGCTAAGATGTCTCTCGGGTAGATGGATGTTCAAGAAGAAGGCGGTAGTGCAGGAAAGCAAGAGACAGGAAAAGGAATATTATGGGACTGTCCTGCTTCAAGGTTGTGTATGGTGAGATTTTTGG